ATGTCATCCTCAAGCAAATTGCGGATGGCCCGTCGATTAGGCGGGTTGGGCTTTTTTCTGCAGGCCCACCGGCCCGGAGTCATAGTGAGATTCAGAATGAGAATGGGGAGAGTATCGGTGAGGTGACAAGCGGAGGATTTAGTCCGTGTTTGAAGAAGAATATTGCCATGGGGTATGTCAAGTCGGGGTTGCATAAACCGGGGACTAAAGTTAAGATTGCCATCCGAGGGAAGACGTATGAAGGGTCAATTACGAAAATGCCCTTTGTGGCTACGAAATATTACAAGCCGTAGTAATTTTTTTTTTTGAAAGTGGAAGTGTTTTAATGGCTACTTGGTTTATGTTTAACTTGTTTCTTGTTGTCAATACTTTTCTGGGCATCGAATGGATGACTATCTGTGTATTTTTGTATTTCCTTTTGCATTTACATTTCCACAATTTGCCCATTAGACAAGCTTTCTAAGGCTGTTTTACATTATGGAGGGCATTCATGTCTTTTGCATATATGAACGATCGTGAGCTGGTCTCTATCCCACCTTGTTCTACATTTTTTTCTGGGACAAAAAATTTACAACTTTTGTCCCATTGACATTGGTCTCTATCCCACCTTGTCCCATTGACGTTTTAAGTGTTAAAAGACTACAAAAATAGTGATCAAGAGCTATAAAATTTGTCCCCAAATTAACCTTATTTGGATCATTATCAATAAAAGTAGGGTTAAATTTGTGTATTATAATTATAGTATCAAACTTTCATTTCTTTGTGTAACTACATTATACTTCCAAAAATCTATCCAATTATATCATTGCAATTTTGGTTTTGATATTTGGACGTTTTACTTTGAAAATTTATATATTTGGATCATGTTGCTATTACTGGAAAGATTTTTCAAAATAAAATGTTGTAGTAGGAAAAACTGAAAGAGGGATGCTATAATTGCAATCCTGATCTGACTAAGTCAGATATAATTGCAGCCTTCATCTAACGTTGAAAAATATACAAATTATAAGTTTTTTTTTTTTTTTTTTTTTTTTTTTTTTTTTTTTTTTTTTTTTTGGGTTGTATCCAATTAGTTTATCAGCCTATGCACTTTCAAAGCTTGGTTAGAGTAATTTGACCCTTTTAAAGAAGAACCACAATTAGTGGCATGGGTGAATCAAATGACATTGAAGGCAAATAGCACCCCCACTTTCAAATTTCTAAATTGGGTAAATCATTTAAAAGATATTAACTTTAATCTCTTTAAAGTACAAAAAAATCAAATGTATGTCGTCTTTCATTTGTATGTTTGGAGGGATAATGACTTAAAAGGGTAATGTATTTTTTGATTTATACACATTTAGCCACTGACTTTTTTTTTTCGTTCACATTTACCCCTTCAACTTGTTAAACTGTACACATTTAGTCTTTATGATCGGCTACTCCAGGTTAGCCGGTAAAAATGACTTAATAAGGTAATATATTTCTCACTTTGTACACATTTAGTCCTTAATATTTTTGTACACATTTAGTCCTTAATATTTTTTTTGTTGCAAAATAAGTCATTTTTGTTTTTGTACTCATTCAGTACTTATGAATAATACTTTTAGGTTTTTCTCACGACATCTTATGTGAGATAGCCATATGGTGGTGGGATAGGTTGAGGTGGTCCTGCTATATGTTGTAGGCCAAGATACCTGGCGCGGGTCGGTTGTAAGCCGTAAGCATGGAGGCTCGAGAAGAGCGGTTGGGTTAAGGCGGCATGCTGACAAACCCTGAGTATTCTAGTCCGATGACTGATTGTTCATGTTGCATGTTGACATTCCAGTCCGATGACTGATTGGGCCAAGGTATTCAAATCTGATGAGTGTGGGTTCGTTATGCATGATAATAGGAACCGGTACCGTACCGGAACCGGTACCGAACCGTACCGAATTTGAAAATATGGGACGATATTTGGTACTCCAAATACATGAAATTCGGGATTTGGTACCACCGGTACCGGTACTAGTACCGAAAACCGGTACCATTCCCGGTACCGGTACCGGTGATCTTAATTCGGTTCGGTACTCGGGATTGAATTTCAATAAAATTTGGTTTTCGGGAAATCGGGAACGGTACGGGTTGGTACCGGTTCCGTCCCACGCTCATCCCTACATGATAATACGTTTGTTGTATCGAGTATTTTGGGGGAAACTCACTTAACTTTGTACTTACCCAGTTGTTTATGTTTTCAGGTTATATCGTTAATCGTGGGAAGGCGAATGCATGACTGTACACACTCATCAATGATTGTCCCACGTAAGATGTTGTGAGAAAAACCTAAAGAAATCATTCATAAGTACTGAATGAGTACAAAAACAAAAATAATTTATTTTGAAACAAAAAAATATTAAGGACTAAATGTGTACAAAAATATTAAGGACTAAATGTGTACAAAGTGAGAAATATATTACCTATTAAGTCATTTTCCCTGCTAACCTGGAGTAACCGGTCATAAGAACTGAATGTGTACAGTTTAACAAGTTGAAGGGGTAAATGTGGACGAAAAAAAACTCAGTGACCAAATGTGTACAAATCGAAAAATATATTACCCTTTTAAGTCATTATCCCATGTTTGGATTCCATTTTTGATAGGGGCCACATGCATATAAGTTAGAGTAAATTACATGAATAGTCCCTCGTGTAAGTGATAAAAGACATATTTAATTCCTATTTTCAAAAACTAACTCGAACAGTCCCTCATTTGTTTAAAACTTACATGCTTCGTCTGTAATAGATATGAACGACCATATATATATATATATATATATATATATATATATATATATATATATATATAATATATATATATATATATATATATATATATATAGGCCTAGGTTATTCTATTCTAACTAATTATTGTGTTATTGTATGAATGATTGTGGGCCAATCATTTTACTTATTTTAAGAAGTGATTATTACATATTATTGAATTAATATAATTGAAAAATACCATCTAATTTAACTAGAAGGGTATTTTAGTCAGTTAATATAGATTTAATAAAGGAAATTTGCATATTTTAAGGAAAATTGCATATTTTAAGGGAAAATAGATTCTATTAATTTTAAAAATCTGATTATATGGATGATAATTCTCCTAATTCAGAAATTCTGACGGAATATGTTTATCAATATATAGAAAAATAACAAAAATTATTGAACCATACAAGAATACACATTCTGACATAATATATATTTTGATTTAATGAACTTCTTGAAGAATAACAAAATTTTAGATACAAGTTAAAAAAAATTTCATTACATTCTTAGAAAAGAAAAAAATTTATATACTATTCTATGAGAATGTTACACTTATTAATAACAAAGAAATACAAATATATAAATCATTCTACCAGAATATACTATTACATATATTTCTTTTTATTATATTGTATATTATTTTGCTAGAATAATCCATTCTTTTTGGAAGATTGGTGGTATTTGTTCATCTTCATCCCGTAGAATGTTCATCTTCAAGATTCTATTCTGACATAATCGAAATTCAAGATTCCATTCCAGTAGAATGTTGTAAGTGTCATATGTACCCTTCCCAGCCAAGAAAACAAGAACATTCTTGTTCTTGATTTCATGTATACCTGCAAATGAGAAATACAACCACTCAGTGTTATTGCTTAATCTTCTTTCCATGGCAATTTCAAGCAATAAACACCACATCGAATTCTGTCAAGCAAAACAAACAATTTCCTGTAAAACATTAACCCCAAAAATCCATTCCATTTATCCATTTCTATCAAGAACAATCAAACCCAAAACAAAGAAAATTAATAAGACTTATAATCAGCAATTCAGAAAATAATTTGTAGAAATCATCGCTCATTAAAAACAGAAAAAAAAATCAACTCAGTTAGAAACAACCTCAATACTATGCTGAGAAATCTTTGCCTCTGGATAATCAAAAATTAAGAAAACAAGAGAAGTTGTAATCAGAAAACGCATACATCAGATAATCAAAAAAAGTTATATAAGCCCCAAAACCAATGAATTGATAATTATTGGAAGTTACTAATCAAATTACTAAATTACCCTTATTTATTTATTTAATTATTTAATTTTTTATTTAATTTTGATTGACCCACATTTATGCATACAATAACACAATAATTAGTTTAAACAAATGAACCTAGCTATATATATATATATATATATATATATATATATATATATATATTTTACGGCACATTTAAGATCTTTAATAGTTTTGAAAAAAGGAGGTAATTTGTATAAAAATCAATGTGTGGCACTCATGTTTCTTGTTACACAAAATGAGTTCACTTTACAAAGCCATAATTCAAAGAAACTATCTCCATAGGTTAATCCACAGACACTATGAATAAGTGGAATACCAACATTCCAACAATAGTACTCGAGTTTATGCACAGACACTATGAATAAGTGCATGGCATGTGGCACATGTTGTTTTAGAACGTAATTTATATATATATATATTTTTTTAATCTTTAAAAGGTCATGCAAATTTCTAAGTTGCGGTTAGCAATGATCATGGATGTTAGTCTTGTGTTTGGCCCATAATTTTACTCTTATTTTTTTCTCTCATTTTTCTAAACACATTTTAATAAAAAAATTAACGTGGGAAATAGGATCCTATACTCTATTTTAATTGGAGATGTTTGACTGGCCAAGTGATTACGCGCGTCTTGATTGTACTAGCAATAGTATAATTAAAATATTCAAATTAAACAGAAGTAAAATGTTATTAAAAAAGATAAAAGCATACAAGTGTGTGTTGTAGTTCGCAAATTACTTACTATATATTTATGACTAACGAAAATTAAGTATGAGATATGAGATATATAATAATATATATTAGATCGCAAATTACTTATTTAATTACATGATCATGATATATAAATTTTATATACATAAAATGAATAAATTAATCAAGAGATGATATATTCTAAACTTGTATTTTCTGGACTATCAAAATAATCAATAATTTAGAAAAGCTTGCTTCCAAACTCTTCAATGTCTTTCCCTTTCTTTGAAGATGAAGCTGCAACATCTCTAAGCTCAGATAAACTTCTTCCAAGCTGAAGTGCCACCTTTATCTCAAACGCTTCACCATTCTCTCTTCTTTCCTCATCTCTTTCCTTCAAGTTTGAATCGATTGATTCCTCCATCATCTTGAAGAAACCTGCATTGCTTCGATACATTTCAAACACCATGCCTACCTGCCCACCATGTTCCACGGTGTTCACAACACTTGCCATTGCACCTCCCATGATTCCGAGCACCACAGCCCAAGAATTATGAGGAGAGTATGAAAGAAAGGTCGAACCAATGGCTCCTAAGCCTGTTAGTAGTGGACCAGCTATGGCTAAAGCTTTGTTGAGTTTCAAGGCCTTATCGCCTAACCTCAAGTAGTCCTCTTTATCTTTTACTTCCAAAACTTTAATGATCTCTCTCATCTCCTCTTCTAACTCAACACTCCAACCATTTTTATCGTTTTTCCCTTTAGCAGAAGACCTCCTCTTTTCTGGCCACCAAACCGCTGGTTCAGTTTTAGCTGGAAATTTTTCAAGCATGGCGCCAAGTAAAGGAAGAGGGTATGCTCTATCTATAGCCAAAACCTTCTTCATCGCTTCATTCACATCACGGAGTGTAGGATTACCTATGGCAATTTTTGTCTGGATTTCGCTTTCAAGTTGCTTCAACAATCTTGCAGCATTTCTTTGTTCTTCAGCCAGTTGGGAAGGTTGGATCTTGTTCATGATAACCAACAACCCTGTTGCAGCCAAATACATGAAAGTAGATGAGAGCTTAAGCACTTCTAATGGTGCACCAGGTGTAGTAGTTATGGCAGCAGCAATACCAGCCATGGTTGCAGCCGAAAGAGTAATGGTGTTGATCGATGTTAGCAACAGGCTGTTCCAGTTGTTCCTTTGCTCTCCAATGTTCTTATGCATCTCCACCCGATCAGAAACAGCTTCCATTATCAGGTAAAGCTTCTCTATAACTTGAGGATCACCAGAAACATTTCTAGGGCTTGAGGTGGGGTTCTTGGGTATGAATCTTGAAAATATATCCGTTTCTTCGACCAGAGCTATGTTTGATGGAATCTTTGGAGGGCGGATGCTTATGTTATTGGTTTTAATCTTTGGAAAATTGATAGCAGCCTTTGTGATATATTTATGGGAAGACGAAGGGAAGGGAGAAGTAGAGGATGCCTTTGAACGCATGAAAGTTGGAGCTTGATTAAAGGCTGCCATATATGTTTATTCTTTGATCCTATAAGGTGGTGTATATTGAATTCGAGCACCAAACAAAACCAGAAGTATGTTATGACCTCTGCGAGTAGTTGGTTGTTGGAGGTTTTCTATTTCTGGCTTGGGTATGAATTGGTTAGATAGATTCGTGCTTATATATAGGGGGGATATTAGTTAGGAAATGGTCAAGATATTCAAACTTTGAATGAAGGGTGTGTTGACATCAGGTTATTTGGATGGACTGTTTCGTAACTTGCCCCATTTTGACTGGACCAAAATTTAAAATTAATTGAAAATTATGTAAAGTTGAGCCAGTTCAGTTGAAAAAAGATGCCATAAAGGTATATTTTGAAATCATAGACTTTAACTGATTTTCAGTAAATGTTTTAAAACCCGATTTTTTAGTTGAACCGGTATGATCATCGGTTCCCGGTTTCTATAATTTTCGTTTTTTTTCCTATTAGCTAGACATCCACACGTTTAAACATTACAAATACATATAAATATAAGTCGTAGATCAATCAAAATATATTAAAAAACACATAACCATAAATTTTACATCAATCCACGTACATCAAAAAGAAAATAAAGTATAATACGGAAACAAAATATAGTTTTAGATGAATACAAACGTATTTAAAAAACCTCTAACATTTACCATGTGTTTTTATTCAAAGAAATCTAAATAGATGTTAAAAAAACGACAAAGTTTGTTATGAAAAATGATCCATTTCCATGTGTTTTATTTAATTTAACGGGTTCAACCGGTTTAATTTAACCGGTTCAACCGGGTTTTTGTAAAAACCGACCGGTTTATTCCGGTTTAGAATAGACATAAAACCAGTGCTAATTGAACCACTCACTTCTTCGGTTCCCGGTCCAACCAATTCGACCGGTCGGTTCAAACTGGTTTTTAAAACACTGGTATTCCGCACTACCCGCGGGGACACAACTGACATTGAACTGGGATTCCTGCTTTAGTGGGTAACAGACAGGGGAAGGATATGATACTATTCATTTCAGTGAATAATTTTTGAATGGGTACTCGTACAATGCTGTAATGCCCCAAAAATCATGACATAAAAATTTTAATTCTTAGATTAATAAATCGATAACACACGTCTTTCCCGTAAAAACCAAGGTAATTTAATTTTCTAACAAAGCATTGACAAATCAGAGTATTTCATAGAAAATGGAAACATGTGGTGTGTACTCTACAATTATCCCAAGCCCTTCCATTTGAAAACCAGAGTACCTGAAACATAAACTGAAAACCGTAAGCACAAAGCTTAGTGAGTTCCCCCAAAATATCATAAACATACAACCACATAATATCATGCCACATCATATAATTGCCATGGGCTCCTCCGCAAGGTCTTGATCTGGAATGCCATGGGCTCCCCCTATGGTCTGATATCCAAGTGTCACGGGCTACCCCGGGGTCTTCCATGCAAGTATGACAGAGACACCTAGCATTGAATGAGTACTCGTACAATGCTGTAATGCCCCAAAAATCATGACATAAAAATTTTAATTTTTAGATTAATAAATCGATAACACACGTCTTTCCCGTAAAAACCAAGGTAATTTAATTTTCTAACAAAGCATTGACAAATCAGAGTATTTCACAGAAAATGGAAACATGTGGTGTGTACTCTGCAATCATCCCGAGCCCTTCCATTTGAAAACCAGAGTACCTGAAACATAAACTGAAAACCGTAAGCACAAAGCTTAGTGAGTTCCCCCAATATATCATAAACATACAACCACAGAATATCATGCCACATCATATAATTGGCATGGGCTCCTCTGCATGGTCTTGATCTGGAATGCCATGGGCTCCCCCTATGGTCCGATATCCAAGTGTCACGGGTTACCCCGGGGTCTTCCATGCAAGTATCACAGAGACAACTAGCATACCACATATCATAGAACAACTATCATACCACATAACACATAATGGGCAGGCATTGGTGCCTTCGACCCATGGATATAGTGAGGAGACTCACCTCACACTACCGAAGCTCACTGAAAGAATCCCTAGCTGCTGCCCTGACGGCTTCCTGAACTAGCAACATAAAAAATACACCCAATTAATAATTAGGCCCCAATCCATAACCACAACTCCATACTTGGGGTAAAAGGACCATTTTACCCCCGACCTATCCTTGACCAAGCCCAAGATCCAAACTACAATCTGAAAGGCCTAACGGCCCACTAATCAACCAATGGCCCAATTTTCTAAATTAGGCCCAACTCCTTACATGGAACTGCCTTAAGGCCCAACCATTCTTTCTAGTCCAAACACTTCGTATCTGATGGCCCATTAACAACTCAAGCCCAAAATGCCAGAAACTACTAGGTCCATCAAATCCCACTAATGGCCCAATTTTTCAAATTGGGCCCAAACCCATATAGACCTTACCCTAAGCCCATACTTCCCTTGGTTACAATTCAGATTACCACAATTACCCCTTGGGACAACTTGCTCAAAGACATAAGTCAAAAGTCAAAGTGAACGGTCCAAGTTGACCCAACTCGCCGAGTTGTCCTTCAACTCGTCGAGTTTCTCCATCAAACAACACAGATCGGGGAAAACCAAGTCAACTCACCGAGTTGACCCATCAACTCGCTGAGTCCCTCTATCATTCTGAAATATCGGGAAAAACCGAGCCAACTCGCCGAGTTTACCCACCTCTTAACACATTCAACCCTTTTTCACCGAATCTTATGCTTCAAGATACATATCTGGTTCTCTAGGGCTGGAATACCACGTAAAGTTGCCAACTTTACGTTCATGCATGCCAAACGAAACTCTAGAACTCACACAAGGCTTAATAGAGAACTTAATGCATGGCTGAGGCCTTGAATCCAACAAAGTTTGCAACTTTAAGTCAAGAGAGACCATCAAACGTCCAGATCTAAAGTGATAACCCCACGAAATGATCAACCCCATGAACAATCCAAAAATGAGTCAAATATGACAATAAACTTCCAAGGAAGAGATCTAAGCAATAGATGGACAAGATTTCGACTTTATACCTCAAAAGAACTGCAACAAATGGAGAGTTTCTGGATCCAAAGCCTTCCTTCCAAACCAAGCACCTTCAATCTTCAAGCCTCTTCCATAGAACACCAAAAACCCACTCTCCAAACTCACTAGTAGCTCACATACTCAACCTTGAAGGATAACACACGAAATTAGGGTTTTCTGGACAAGGAGGTTGGTAAAGAGGTCAGCCAAGAGGGTTAAGGTCTTTAAATAGGGTGCCGATCCCTAAAATTAAGGTTTCCTTCACAGCCGCCAACTCGTCGAGTTGGGACTCCCCGACTCGTCGAGTTGAATCAATAAAACCCGCAGACACAAAATTCTCGACACGACGAGTTGGAGCTCCCCAACTCGTCGAGTTCCCACAAAAACTCCAATATTTTTGAGAAATGAATAATACCTGGACCAAACGTTACAAATGCGGTGAAGATGCTGATTAGTTTGGAATTAATATTCTTATTTGTTTGTGTGTAATTTTTTATGCTTCATTTGTGTACGATACATTTGTATGTGTAACTTTTGGTACGTATGAGTTAAGTATTATGATTGATATTTTCAATTTATTTGTTTCGCTCAACTTTAATTCCAAAAAATACTTGAACAATAGTTAGAAATAAAAAGTTATCTTGGATCACACCATCCAACAAAGTTAGTGTTACTTTCATTTGCAAATTTGCAAATGACCTCCGATGTATTTAAAAAATGACCAAATGTTATCTAATTACATTCAAGACAAAACTCAAATTAAAAATAATTATATAGGCTTTTATATATATATATATATATATAAACAAATAAAAACGATTGTTGAATATATCGATTTCCCTGAAAGTTAGACTTGTATGGATATTTGATTTGATTTTTATTTAAGTTAAGCTTTTCATTTTTTTTTTGACATTTATTGGTTGTATATATTATATCACTTGAAGTTTTCAAGGAGTGCTAGGAATCATGGCAAGCGATTGTAGTAGATGAGTTTCAATTTTTGTTGGTAGTTTAACTGCATCTATTATTTGATGTGAATCGTTTTACTTTGTGATTTTTAGGATAAATCATCATTTTTCATCCACATAAAATAGAATAGACATGTCGTTTGAGGTTAACATCTTAGAATCATTGTTTTTTCATTATAAAACTCGATATTTTTATATCATATGTTTTCTTAGTAGGAAGTGTATCTTTGTACATTACAGACTCTATGTAGTGATGTTCAAGTTGTTGTGAAGAAAATGTATGGAGATGCACGACCAACAATCGTGCTAATTGGCTACAGGTTTCTAATTCACTTTAAGCACCTAATGTTGTTACTGTTAATTGGTATAATATTCTAGTAAATAATTGGAAGCAAGACTATAAATGTGTAGTGATTCACATGTAAATCACAATTACACCCGATTCCCATGTAAATTACAGGTAATTCACATATGAATCGCATGTGATTCACATGTAAATCACAATTACACGTGATTCACATGTAAATCACATGTAATTCACATATGAATATGATGTAATTCACATGTAAATCACAACTTGATCATATATGAATTACATATGATTCACATGTAAATCACAATTACATGTGATTCACATCTAATTCACATATGAATCACATGTGATTCACATGTAAATCACAATTACACGTGATTCACATGTAAATCACAAATGAATCACATGTGATTCACATGTAAATAACAATTACACGTGATTCACATGTAATTCACATATGAATCACACGTAAATCACAATTACACGTGATTCACATGTAAATCACAATTACACGTGATTCATATGTAAATCGCATGTGATTCATATGTGAATCGCATGTGATTCATATGTTAATCACATCAAAATCACATATGTATTTTTATGAGTGTTTTTGCATCAATCAATTTTTTTTTAATTTTCCTGTAGATTTGGAAGAAATTGTGGTGAATATTGAAGAGGTGAAAAATGA